TAAAAAAGTGAGATAAAGAGCCTTTAATACTTTCTTCTCATACCTCATAGACTATACATTTTGTGCCCTTCTACAGAGACCACTGTCTTAAAGAACCACTTTAATCCAGCCTATTCTTTTTCCAACATACGTAATTATTAAAACTCAAGGTTGCTTTAGGTCCAACCTTGCATTGATAGATTGGCTGGGAGGGGCTTGGTAAAATCTAATTCAGAGGGTCTCACTCTAAGGCTCCTAAGAAATGACACTATTGTAAGATAAATATTTACTGATTACCTAGCTGGAAGTCCTGGGTTCTGGGAGATCCACCAGAGAGCTATTGTTACTGAGGCCTCAGGTCGGAGGGCCCACAGAGCACATGTTAGAGGCAGGAGTCCTACTCTTGAAGAACCTAGACATAAAGGCTGCAAGGAACACATCAGTAATGTAACAATAATAATTGGTGATGATTCATAAGAAAAATGCTCAAAATCTACACCATCTAGGCAATCTGCTGATTCCAAAGCAGAGAGAAAGATGGAGATGTAGACAGTCAATGTATAGTTCTCAAAGCAAAAGTAAATCATAGATTTACCTCTGAAAATCAGGAAGCCCTGTTCCGCAGGGTCAGAGCCAATATTTAAAGCTGAGGCCTACTGGCTAGCCCAAGCAACCTAAGGTGGCATAGAAGAGATTTTTTGAGAAGTACAACAGGCTAAACTTCATGACCTTTAATGCCCACCCTGAGAAATCTCAGCTTTCCTTCAGGCTTTTTACGAGCTGACCTGCACAGCGCATTAATTTCTTTCCAAGCTAAGAATTCTCAATCTTTTTCTAGTTAAGAGGTATATATTCACCTAAATGAAGGCCTGGGCATGTGTGACAAAACATCAATGTCTCTCTTATCGTTTCACATGCAAAGACCTAAAAATATTACCTTCAGTTCCTACCAGAATACTGATATGCACTAGAAGATGTGATCACTACAAAATCAGTGTACAAAATTGGGTATGGCAATGAGTTCCAATATTTCTAATTTACTCTTTCTTGCCCCTAAAATCCCTGTAAAATTCCTATGTGGTGCAAACGGTTTGTGCACAACTCCTAACTTAACGGTTGGTGGTTCGAACCCAGCCAGCAGTACCACAGAAGATAGGCCTGGTGATCTGCTTCTGTTAAGATTACAGCCAAGAAAACCTCATGGAGCGGTTCTATTCTGTAAAACATGGGGTCGAGTCAGAATCAACTCGAGGGCAACTAACAACAAGATTCCTACTGATGTATTTATTGATACCATTTAATGGATGCTCACTGTATAAACATAACCTTTAATAATATAATTGTAATAGTAAAAAGATCAAAGACTATATATTTTAGTATGGATTACGCCTGAACATGAACATGCTGTGATAAATGGAGAAAATACCGAAGCGGTCAATGATTTCATTCTACCTGGGCCCATAATCAACGTCCATGGAAGCAGCAGCCAAGAAATCAAACGATGTACCACACTGGGCAAATCTGCTGCAAAAAAGCCTCTTTTAAAAGTTTTTCAAAGCAAAGATGTCACTTTGATGACTAAGATGCATATGACCCAAGCCATAGTCTTTTTAATCGCCTCATATACATGTGAATGCCGGACAATGAAATAGACAGAAAAATTGATGCGTTTGAATTGTGGTGTTGGCAGAGAATACTGAATGTACCACGGACTACCAGAAGAACCAACAAATCAGTCTCAGGAAAAATACAACCAGAATGCTCCTTAGAAGTGGGGATAGGCAAGACTTTGACTTACTTTGGACACATCATCAGGAAGGACCAATTGCTAGAAAAGGACATCATGGTTGGTAAAATACAGGGTCAGCGAGAACAAGGGAAACCCTCAATGAGATGGATTAACACAACAGCCGCAACAATGCACTCAAACATACCAGCGATTTCCAACGATTATGAAGATGGCACAGGACCAGGAAACATTTCAGCCAGTTATACATAAGGTTGCCACGAATCAGAGACTCAAAAGCAACTAACGGCAAACATTTATTGAGAGTCTACTGGTGGCAGAATGGTTAAGCGCTCGGCTGCTAATCAAAAGATTGGCAGTTCAAATCCACAAGTGGCTCTGAGGGAGAAAGACCCTGCAATTACCGCCTAGGAAACCCTATAGGGGCAGTTTTACTCTGTAATATAGGGTCCCTATGAGTCGGAATTGACTCAGTGACACAACAACTATGTGAGATTCATGCATATTATTTTTCTTAAACGTATGAAATAGATTTTTTCATTCCATTTTATGGATGAAGAACAAATTTTGAGATGTTATTTGTTTAAAATCACATATTGTTTAAGTGGCTAAGCTAAGATCTAAAACCAGACCTGATTCTAGAATCTCTATTTTAAAAACTACTTCACTATGTTACTGAATCCACAATCAACACCCGTGGAAGCAGCAGTCAAGAAATCAAATAACATATTGCACTGGGCAAATCTGCTGCAGAAGATCTCTTTAAAGTGTTAAAAAGCAAAGATGTCACTTTGAGGACTGAGGTGTGCCTGACCCAAGCCATAGTGTTTTCAATCACTTCATATGCATGTGAAAGCTAGACAATGAATAAGGAAGACCGAAGAAGAATTGATGCCTTTGAATTATGGTGTTGGTGAAGAATGCTGAATACACCATGGACTGCCAGAAGAACAAACAAATCTGTCTTGGAAGAAGTACAGTCAGAATGCTCCTTAGAAGCAAGGATGGTGAGACATTATGCTTGGTAAAGTAGAGGGTCTGAGAAAAAGAGGAAGACCCTCAACGAAATGGATTGACGCAGTGGCTGCCACAATGGGCTCAAACAACGCACAATTGTGAGGATGGCACGGGACCGGGTAGTATTTCATTCTGTTGTACATAGGGTCACTATGAGTCAGAAACAACTCGATGGTACCTAACAACAACTTCACTACATGCTACGTTTCCAACAACAACTTTACGACATGCTACGTTTCCAAATCTGTGTTTCTCTTTCTCTGTATTTCATTCAATGATAGGCTTTTCCATTGTCTGATTAGGAATAGAAAAAATTACAGTAAAATGTTGTAAGCAATAACATGATGTAGTGGAAGAGAACACAGGCTTTAGTATCTGAAAGATGTGTGCTCAAATCTTTGCTCCATTATTTACTAGTATACCACCTCAGGAATCAAACTTAACTTTCTGAGCGCCAGATTTTTTTCCCCTCTGTAAAAGAGGAATAACTATCTTGCAAAACTGTCCTGAAGACTAAGCAAGCATGTATATAAAACATATTGTATGGTGCCTGGAAATGTAGTAAGCATTCAATAAATATAACTGTTATTTTTAGATAGACAAAGTAGTATGGGAGCAGAAAGGAGGAAACAGATCTGTTTAGGAAGATGAAGAACACAAGTACATGACACTTTGGAGAGGCTCCTGCTAGTTACAGTGCCTAAGGGGAGCACACAGTTCCCTTTCCCAAACCTCTCAGGATGACCTTATCTGTTAGAGGCTCACTCCTTGACTGCTACCTGAACACAGTGATAGTGCTAACAAGAGAACCCTGCCCTGAGGGCCAAGATAGGAAGGAAAGAAGAAAGACTACACTGTTCATATAAAGTGCTGGACCTGAAATCAAAGAGCTCTGAATGTTTTCAAGCTACTGGCTGGAGTAGGTAGGCAGCTGGCTGTCCAACTGCCCACTGGCTAATCAGGGCGGTCAGTCTCACTCCAGGGCACAGTTCTCTTCTATCTCAGTCAGGAACTACCCAGATGAGGTTAGGTACTGGGCAGGGGGAGGGACAACAGCATGCCAGGACTACCTCATACACCCCTGCCTGATCGTTTGGAAAAGAAGAATAAAATTAAGTTCCTGAGAGTGGAGTGCCTGGACATTACTCTGAAACAGTACAGACAGGCCTGTTTGAGGTTTAACATCAAAATAAAAGCATCTAAAGGGGCTAAGGTTTCAGTGTAAGTCTGTACACGGAAATAGTTCATGCTATTTCTGCTGGGGAGTTAAAAAGATTTTTTAAGTTATAAAAATACTTTGACTGTGACCTTTAGAAAAACAATATAATTATTTTGACTCTTCCAAATATAATCCTTGAGATATTTTAAATAGCAGGCAGCATTATTAGAAAAGGCAAATAATGTTTAAAAATAAATTAAGCTATAGGCTAAGGGAGCAATGGGCATTATGACTGCTCTTTAGAGAGCTACAAGATTCATGACTTCATGTTTAATAAAAATGTCACAGATGCACCAAGATGTTTTTGGGACTTCATGCATTTGAAAAGAATGATTTAAACATAACTTTTACACAAACGAGAGAAAATGATTTTCTAAAACTACTAGGACACTATAATAAAAAAAAAAACCAAACCCGTTGCTGTCGAGCCGATTCCAACTCATAGTGACCCTACAGGACAGAGGAGAACTGCCCCATAGGGTTTCCAAGGAGCACCTGGTGGATTTGAACTGCTGACCTTTTGGTTAGCAGTTGAACTTTTAACCACTGCACCACCAGGGTTTCCAAGACACTGTTTAATAGTCAGGTTAAAATACTATCAGTACTACAGCATCTTTGGCCCTCCAGTCTCCATTATTTAAATAGTTATGTTTTTTTTCTTTTTTGGTCTTTTTTTTCCCCATAGGTCCAAGACTTAGACAAATTAGTCACATGCCAGAAACTGAGGAATGATCTGCATTTTTTGTACATTTCCTAACTTACTAATATTGTTCAGACATTAGGAAGTAGGCAATTTTGATGCCCACCCTCTCAGTTCCACCTGCCCGCATTTAACTCACTCAATCTGACCCCCAAGAACACCACTATGACCTCGGCTCACACTTCACTCTCAATACTAAGCATCTACTACATTACTTCACAACTGAGAGAAAAAATCAGACAATAAGTACCCTGGCAAGGACACCAAATTAGAACCAGTTTCTAATTTCTGTGAAAAATTCAGGTAAAAATGAATTCAAATAAAAATGATGTACATACCTGTACCACAGGATCTTTTGGTTGGTGTGATTAACGAGACATGAGCTGTGTCTGTGCATGGCCCACCTAGAAGCAGAAAGGCAGGCACATCAGTCAGGACATAGCTTCTACATGCCCGCACTTGCTACTGGGACACACAGGAACCTAAAAAGAGGTCAACCTGCAAATATCCATGAGGAAAGGTAGTAAGAAAGGTGGTGGGGTTAATTATAAGGACCTAATTTTAATTCAGTAATTTAGTCTACTGATCCATAGTCTTTCTATGTTATAACATGCTTTTCAGAAAAAATAACTGAGAGTCTCACATAATGTTAGGAAGTTAAAGGTTAAAATTTTCACTAGAGTTCAGATCCAGGTGAGAGGAAATCACCCTAAGTCTGGGGAGCTAAGTTCTTCCACAGAGAAATAAAAGAACTGCTACCTCTTAGGCTGACTTCAGTGGTCACTCTATCTTTGAATTTATTGCAAAACTAGCTTCATTTAAAGGGAGGAATTCCTTAAGGAACAACAAACTGCTTGACAGAAGAAATAAAGATCATTTTAATATGTAAGGAGAGCATTGCTGACCGAGAAAAAATATCTAGTTTAATTATAAGAAGTATGATATGAAGAGGGCCTTTATGGAATTTTGGTGGGCCCAGGGATCTGGCGCATAGCTGTAATTCAAGAGTATGCAAGACATATAAATTATTTAGTGATGAAGGCTTGAAAAGCAATAATTGCACTCTGCAGAATTAGTCACTAACAAATCCTGATGCTGATATTGACACAAACTCCCACACACCCCCAACCATGCTCTACTCTCTGAAATACGAAGTTACTGTATAAATACTCAGACCAGTGGTTCTCAACGTGCCCTGGAACAGGCATTGGTGATGGTCAGAAAGAAGCAGAACACACCAGCAAATATTATACATGTATTTTAAAAAGGCTCCCCAGATAATTATGATTAACAATGGGGGAACATGATTACTTGGTGTGGTTGTATATTACCTATGGCAACTATCATTCACCTCCCACTGAAGTTACACACTGAAAAGGAAGGAAAGATGGAAAGAGCTCTGAGATCCGTTTCTAGAGTTTCTCTCTCTGAGATCCATGGGTTTAGGGGCCTAAAGATCCCAGTTATGAAATTCACCATTAGGCCACTCTTTCCATGCCAAAGCCATAACAGCAGCAATGCTCAAAACCTGTTGCCGTCGAGTTGAATGAGACTCACAGCGACCCTACAGGACATAGTAGAACTGCCCCACAAGGTTTCCAAGGAGCGGCTGGTGGATTTGAACTGCTGACCTTTTGGTTAGCAGTCGAGCTCTTTATCACTGCACCACCAGGGCTCTGCAGCAATCCTCAGTGGGTGTAAAAAGACAGAGGGGAAGGGGAAAAAAAAAAAAAAGGAAGAGAAACCAAGTAAGTGCATTGTTAACTTCAAAGAGCACTTAGCAAATACTATGTGCCATGGCTGTCAGTCTACACTCAGGGAGTTTACAATCTTAGGAAGAGAAAATTTATGTACATAAATAGTGAATAATAAATGACAGCAATAAAGAGCTGGATGGAAAATGATCAAGTACCAAACCATACAGTATAGGTAATAAATGCTAACTGCAAGCAGGAAGAAGGAAGTTCATCACTGGCCAGCATTACCTGGAAATGCTTCCCAAGAATTTGAAGGCAAGAATAAACTGGAGAATTTAGAAAAGCCAGGTCAGAAGAGCAGGGCATTTCAATTGAAAATTGTTCTACAAATGTCACATTCACCATAGAAAGCTTAACCTACTAAAGTTCTAGAGGTCCAAATAGGCAACTGTGACATGGAAACAGGCAATATGAAAGTAGATAAGGAGCTGCAGGAAAACGTAACACAGGCTCTACAGTCTCCAGAACCCTCTGAGCACTGGCTTCTACAGCTCCATAAAATCATGTAGCTTCTGCTTCCATGTTATAGATAGATTAAACAGACAGACAGACAGATAGATACTTAAAAAAAAATTTACGCATCCTTCTTTCTTGGAAAATACGGGGTTTATAGAAGACTCAATTTAAGTCCTGCTATCGGTCCCTACTTGCTGAATAATTCTGGATTAAGTGATTTTCAGTTTCTTTAACCAAAAAATGGAGATAATAAAAATGCCCACAAGCCACTGGGTTGATGAGATCATCTATACAAAAAGACTTCATAAACTATAAAGCTTTATATTATGTATCATTATCACCTTCTCCTCCACCAGATTTTATGTTCCCAGGGGTCAAGACTCACATTGTTATCTACTCTTGGGTCATGGCTATATGGACAGTGGGTACTTAATGATGCTCATTAAGTAGCCACTTCAAGCTGCTTGATTTAAACAGGAAAATAATGCACGTTTTTTAAAACTTTTTTTTTAACTGAGGTATGACATAAGTAAATAGACTGAAGTACTAGAATGAAGTGCACACATTTTAAATGTACACTGGAGGGGTTTTAACATATATACACACTTGTAAATGCCATCAGATCAAATAGTAGAACATTTCCAGCACCCAGGAAGTTCAGGGGAGCATCGCCGGAAATTTTGATGCAACAGGATGGGGTAAGGCATAAGAGATTAATGCACATTTTTAAACCACCTGAGCACAATGTAAGTATTAACAGATCAGTTAGTTCCAATCTCTGAAAAGATTGCCAGGATCGCTGAGTACCCATAACACAGTGAAATGCACAGAGCATAAGAGTCAATAACGGTTTAACTACCCAAATATTTTTTTAAAGGACATAAAATAATTCATTCAGCAAAATTTTAAGAGAAGGGAGAAACAGTCAAGTAAAAAATCCTAAAGAATTTTGGCTAAGACTCATGAATTAACAGTCCCATGTTTGCAAATGTCCAAGATGACTATTAAATAAGAATCTTTATCTCATCAGTACGTTGAGAGTTTATTCTTTTTTCAACTCCTAGCAAATGAATTTCTGTAGGTTTTGGCAAATACGCCAATAACTTTAAGGCTACCTAGCATATCGCAACATGCATCATCATGAAAGTGTCCTCCAGAGAGCTTATTAAACAACCCAATCCAATGTGTTCACTACATTATAGTAATATACAAATGGAACCACAGTTGAGCCAAGACAAATTTGACAGCAAGAGTAACTGGCAGTGACAATATATTCCAGCTTTGATAATTAGGCAATATTATAAACAGAGAGCTTGGAATAAAGTTTGGTCTGGCAAACTATAACCTATGAAACACTTTAAAATCCAGAACAGAAGCATGGGAGCACAGCAAATATACTCTACACTAATTGTGCCATCACCCAAAACTCCTATACTCTCAAAAAAAAGGGAGTAGTCACAGGAGATTACGGTATCTACCTTTACATAATCAATTCCAAATCAACTCTGCTAAAACGAATGCAGGAAATTAAGGGACGCTAAAGGGAAATCTTTGAAGGTTTTTGTCCACTACAATAGAAATAAAAAACAGATCTCATGTAGTCATCGCAAACAAAATAATTTTGAGAGCTGATGGTAAGGAATCAAAGTCAGAACATTTGCTCCATTCAAAGGAATGGAGTTGGCTTTTCTGAGCTTTCTAATGCCACAGTGGGAACTGAGGGAGGGGCTATGGCATATGACTCCATACATCATTGCAAACTCTGCTCCTATTTTGGCCTTTCTTCCTCTTCTTTCCAAGTAGGAGAGTAAACAGAGTAAGAACTAATAACTGAAGAGTGAGGTGAGGGAATTTCTTCATAATCATAGGCTCTACAGATTAATGTAGCGTGTGTGCGCGCGTGCATGCACGCATGCCTGTGTGCGTACACACATATACGTACACACGTGTACGTTTGGTGGGATCAATCTGTGGAAAATAAATGTTTCTAAGCACAGAACAACTCAAACCATTACACTTCAGTCTACATTAGTAGCAACTGAGTTTGGAACAACAGTTTTGGGTTTTTTAATATAAAAAAAAATCATATTTAAAGTTCCTTGCTCAATGTGACAGGCCCTCTGGGGATTCTGAGCCAGATGATATCAAAATTACCAAACCTGAACTAATTTTTAGTCAATTATTTTGAGTGCTTTCTGCTTGCCTCCCACCACCCCCCTTTTCTTTTGCTAAAGCAAATAGCTGAAATTTTTTTCACATTTCTTCATTATCTGGAGATACTGAATAACAGACATTCATCTTGCATTAGATATTATATTCAGAGGACTTTTTCCAGAAATAATGTGAAGTTTCAACAATTTAGAGTTTGGAATTTGCAAACAAATAAGGCTTGTGGAAGCTTGTGCTTTGTGGCTAGATGAAGTCTGAATATGTTACCTTTTCTTTTAGGAACGTTTCTATTCTTGTATTAAAGGTGTCGTACATAATGCAGCCCTATGGATCGCATTTGGAATTCCACATGAAAGCCATGAAACGAAATTCTTCAGCTGTACTCCCAACAAGTAGAAATCTTTATAGCTTTGCGATAGCAAAGTGGATTTTCCAGGGAAAACAGTACTAATTTCAGCCCAGCAAAGTTGAAGATGGGGGTCAAACCTGCATACTAACATACAAACCAACAAATCAGAAGGACTAACTAAAGGTATCCCATTAACTATCAACACTCACATTTTAAGCCACAGTAGCAGAATTCTTACATATTCTTTTTCAGCCGCCTATACTGAAGAGGCCTGGTGGCACAGTGGTTAAAAGCATAGCTGCTAACCAAAAGGTCGGCAGTTTGAATCCACCAGCACCTCTTTGGAAACCCTATGAGGCAGTTCTACTGTGTCCTATGAGTCAGAACTGACTCGACTGCAACAGGTTAACAGGTTTGGCTTTTTTTTTTTTTTTTGTCTTTTTCGGGGGAGGTTTATACTGAAGTTCATGGGTGGTGCAAATGGTTAACACACTCGACTGTTAACCAAAAGATTGGGGGTTTGAGTCCACCCAGCGGCGCCTTGAAAGAAAGGCCTTCTGAAAAATCAGGCATTGAAAACCCTATGGAACAGTTCTACTCCGACACACATGGGATCACCATAAGTCAGAGTAGACTCAATGGCAACTGGTACAGTTACACAGTTACTGAGCAT